CTCGGAGTCCTTGCCTTCACCGTGATCACGCTCCACGCATGCGCTCCCTTCCCGGAGCCGCGCTACAAGGGTCTACGAGGCCCTTCCTGCCCACGGCTTCCAAGGGATGACTCCGTTCAAAGTATGTACAGCCAAAAAGCAGTCTTTTAGTGGGCGGCACTCTTGCCCCAAGCCTTCTGGCCCTGAGGCCGGCGGGGGCAGTCCCTAAGGAACAAGTCCAAGACGCTCCGCTCGCCTTGACGGTCAGGCTCTATCTTCTCTACTCATCACTCAGAGGCAAAGGCGAGTGCCGTCAGCAGAACTGGAAGACAAGCAAGCCCACACGAGAAGCAAGACGTTAGCGGCTCCTGTCCCGCTGGGGCCAGAGGCAGCTGCTTGACTGATGCATGAACCATGCCAAGCTTCAAGCAGGCCAGTTTGGAAATGCAGAAGGGCAAATGCTGTTGTATTTTTAGGCTCTTGGACAGAGAAGCCAAGAGCATGCGATGGAAATGGGCCTGGAGTTTTCGAGCACGTCCTACACAAGGAAAGGGAGCTTGTGGTTGAGGGATGAGCAATAATGTGCATGGACTTCTGCAGGACAGTGGCACGAAGGCCCTGCACTATCTGCAACACATGGACCACGTAGGGGAGAAGCACGCATGGTGATCTAGAGCCCAGGGTGGGTCTGGGTGTCATGGATGCTGTCACCGAATGCAGGGGGCGGCAGCTTCTGGCCCCTGGACTGGATCTGGCCCACGGTACCTCTGGATCCAGGCTGCAGATGTAGGTTTTCAGCAGCAGAAGTATCTGGCTATGGGCGCTTTCTTTTTGCTGCCGCGGGGAGAAGCGGTGGCAGTGGCCAGGTGCTGGCCCCCACTCCTCTATGGGTCGTTCTGGCCCACGGCCCTAATCTAAAGCAATTGCCGTGTGTTGCCATCAAGGGGGAGCAGTGGGGACTGACCTTCCAGCGGTTCCCACACTCGTTACACAGCACAAAGGTCGTCATGGGCTCGTCAGCGCTGCGGGTCTGGACCTGAGGAGGAGACAGCAACGCAGTCAGCAGGGAACATGCATAGGAGAGGCGGCTTGCTTTGCCCCCGGGGTTCAGGCCCGGAGGGAACGGACACAACGCCCCGAGGACGCCCGTCACCTGGTTGTAGGTGCAGTTCTTCTTCCTGCACTTGCCGCACTGGAAGAGGTCGGTGACGGTGCCACCCGTCTTCGCCATCTGGTGCTCCCGGATGGCTTCCTGGGTCATGGCATTCCTCAGCTCCTTCAGCTCATCGCTCGCCATCTCCTGTGATGAACAGTGACGTTGCTGGAGGCAGTGCTCTAGCATCTTCCCTTGGGTCCGTCTCTCACACCCATAGGCATCCCCTCCCCAGCGCACGCAGGTTATAGACCCCCAAGCCCAACCACCCTTCCTGCACCAGGAGTCGGATCAGAAACCCCTCAGGTGTCTCCCAGACTGGCTGACGTGAGGACCCTCTCCCACCCTTGCAGGGGAGTTGCTTCTGCCGGTCTCTCACGATGCAATATTGATGGCAATGGCTCATCCAGTCCTGCCACCAGCTCCCCGTGCCTGCTGGCCTGCAGTCCACGATCGTCTCCCCTCGATGCTCAGCTCTGCCTGGCTTGCATCGGGGATGCCGGGGTCTCTCCCAGAGCCACTGCTTCCACGCATCGGTCTCCAGGGTCTTCCCCACCCCGCTCTTTACCTCGGCGGTCATCCTAGCAATGAGGCTGGGCGCGATGGCTCCACACAACACGTTCCTCCGCAGGTTGGGGTTCTTGGGGTCCTTCAGGTTACTGATCCTGCTCCGGACGCGGTTGCGGTACTTCATGTCCGTGCTCTTCAGCTCCTGGAAGATATGTGGCCCCGTCAAGGAACAACAGCCGGGGGTGCGGCAGTGGTGGGTCCGAACCGCTGGGAACCCACCGGGCTCTGGTTCCCCAGGGCTCCTGCTCCCTGCCTTTTTGCTTGGACACGGGGGTTCAAACAAGCCCCCCGAAAGTGAGCAAAGCTTTTCTGCCTACCAAGAGACCCAGACAGATGCCAGGCTCATGGGGAAAAGGGCCTAGAGCTACTTCCATTTAACCCAGGCCATGTTTTGACCCAGTTCTGTTGACATCTAGTCCCCTTTGGTCTCATGCGGGGCTTAGGATAGGACATGCTGCAGTCTCCCTGCGTGGTCCAGCCTCTCTCTGGGGAGGGCTGGCAGTTTATCCACCCTAACTCTGCTTTGCACCAGCTCCTACAAGGCTGGAAAATAACTTGGGGTTTCCTCAAAGCTCCTGGCTTGCAAAGAGCCTTTGTATGACAAGCCCATGCACAGGCCAATTGCCACATCTTGCAGCCAGGGGAGCTGAAGCAAGAGCACCCAAAGCCTCGCGGCTGGGAAGCTCCTGCTGACTGCTGGATACCTGCTCTTCAGTGTGTTGGGCATTCCCCTCAGCCGCCGGGGTTTAGGAACCCGCTTGGTCAGGCAGCAGTGCCTGCTCACAGCACAAGTTGCCTAAAGCTGCAGTCGCCTGCAGCGACTGGGGTGCAAAATAGCCTGGGTTTGGGCACCCTGCAAGAGACACCTGCTTGATACGGTTTTGAAGACAGCCACTCTCTAGGGCAGTGAAGGCTAGAGGGGGTCTGTGCGAGCATTTGGTTGATGGTGTTGCCGTCGAGGTGGCTGCTGGACCACAGCCGGGGCTTGTGGCATCCCTTGGCCCTGCTGCGTCATTTGAACCTATGCGAATAACCCGAGCGGGAGCTCTTTGCTGCCGGCCCACGTGCCCAGGCCAAGCCTCCGGCATCCCTGTAGCAAAGGATATGATCTTCGATTTCCGAAGCCATCTTCTCACAGTTGACGCCAAACTCCTTGTAGTCATCTGAGGAGAGGGGGAGGCATGAAACACTCAGAATCCCGGTGGGGAGGAAAAAGCATCTTCAAAGCACTTTTTAAACAAAAATGGTCCCAGCCAGTCAGCTGGAAACTGGACTTAACCACAGTTTTTTCCCCACTCGGGCACTCTGGCCCACTCGCACTGATTTGCTATCGTAGGGCTGCTCTTACTAGCAACAATCTGCTGCATTGTAAATGCAGAGAACGGCTGACATGGCTTTTGCAGTGGGGACAAGGAAGAAGCTGGCAGGTTACATTTTGGCCCTCCTGACTGTGACGGTGTCTGTGCAAATAAGACATGTAGGTGTAAAAGGGCGACGTGGCAGAAGTCAATGAGTTTGCACCAGGGATGAAGCTGGCCCAATGGATGAGCAACCAAACCAAGGACTAAAGCCATTCAGCTGCCACCTGCTCTCCAGATGCTGCACTCGGAGAGCAACACAGCTCCCCTCATCCAGCTCCTATTCTCGGGTCACGTCTGCGCTGCTTCCCTGGCACCCCGGCAAGCTCCAGAGAGGCATGGTCCACCCATGCCAACCCCATCAGGGTCGAGGGCATAACACAGACTGAGGGCTTCTCCCACGGCTGCTCTCTAGCATGCCAGAGGCAGGGACCTTGAGAGGGGGAGCGGCTGGGCTCAGGTTTGGCACGAGGGCAGGGCCGTCCGTGGGTCCAGCGCTTGCTCACCATCCATCTTCATGGCAGCTGTGAGCATCTCGATGCACTTGTCCCGGATGGAGTCTCCTGTGAGGTAGCAGGAGGCCAGGAGGCAAGTGCTAGGGGCGAACGTGGGGCTGGAGGGGCTCGTGGGCGTCTTGGGTGTCTCTGGTTTGGATTTGCTGCTGTTCTGTCTGCAAAGAAGGACACAAGGACCCTTCCCCATGAGCCTGGATCGGGTGGGCTCCCTGCGCTTACCAAAGCTCCCAGCAGCTCCCCTGTGCACCTCAATGGAGGAGACAGGGCTACTTCCATGTCTGCTTCTGCACAAGGCCCCCAGAGCTCCCACTCTCCAAATGCCAAGAGGGGCTGTATGCACACCTCCCACCCATGCTGGGTCCTACACATCTCCCACTGGGACAGCAATACTGCTTGGACCTTCCTCTTCCTCCCCTGCAACCCCTTTCCTGCTTTGGGGCTATCACGATTCCTTCCAGTGTCCCCTCGGCCCCTCTGTCGCTAGAGGATTCACCCTCAGGGTAGCCATGCAACACAGATGAGTTGAAGCCGAAAGGAAACTGAAGCATGGAGAGACTAAGTCACTCGCCCAAAGACACACACATGAAGACCGTGGTGAGGCAGGGACTTGAACCTGCGTATCTCGAGCTCCAGGCTCATGCTCGGACTCAGTGATTCTCAACCAGGCTGATGCAAGATCCTTTTAGGGGTGTCCCATGACATGATCCCTGTTAGGGCTGCAAACGGCTACACGGGATTCACCCAGAGAGTCCAGAACGGTTTTACCCAAGGGAAGGCTAAGAGCTGGCATTTTCCAGGGGGTGCCCTGAGTCTAACAAGGGGGTCCCTTGAGTCTAAACCCCTTGAGAATCACTGCTCTCACTCCTGGGCCATGGAGGGTGGACAGCATTCACTTGCACAGGGCATTCACACCCTCCCTCACTGGGCCAGGGAGGCTGCGTGCCCTCCAGCACCACCACGGCTAGCAGGCATCCCCACGCTCCTGTACCTCTCCTCTTTGCCGTCGCTGGAGTTCTTCCGAGCAGCAACCGGGCTGGAGCCTGTAGACGGCCTCCTGGGATTGAAACAGGGAGAAGCACTAGTGAATGCAATGCCAGACAAGGTGCTCTGGTGACCACAGCACCAGATTTGCCCTGGGCTGGGTACCAGGGTGATGGGCTCCGTCTCAGGACCTGGAGCAGGCAGAGACGGTGCTGGATGAACGTCTGATGGGTTATCGGTCGGCGTGAAGTGCCCATCCCAGCCTCTGCTGCAGTTATAGGAATCTTCCCATTGCCTTTCATTAGGGTTGTCCCAGGTTGTGAATTTGTCCTGTGTTCAGGCAACACTGCCCACCTTGGAGCTGCAAGGGGGCCCCTCAGATCCCAGCAGCCCCCTTCAGTCATCGCAGGTAGCAGTGGCAGTGAGGTATTCACTTCTGCCAGGGTAAATTAAACCCTGGGACCTCAGCGGCCACAGCACAGAGCTCCATAAAGCCCTGGATCCTCACATCCCCCACCCAGGGGCCACCCTCAGCTCCCCAGGGTTCGGTGTGGGCCTGCTCCGGATGAGGTACTGCAGCCCTACCTTTCCAACGACAGCCTCTTTGGAGGGGTGGAAGAGGAGGAGGCAGCTGTGCTGGTGGAAGATTTCGAGTCTGCAGAGTCTCTCCTAGAAGAGAAGTCGGGGAGAAGACACGGTACTGAGAACAAGGGTTTAGGGTAGAAACACTCCCTGAAGCTGAGATGTAGTAGGGCGGGCGACGGCTCTGGTCATCCATGGATGACAAGACAGATGCCCACGTGCCCGAGCTGGCTCACAGGGCATCTTGTTGTGTGGAGGGGAGACGTGCAGATCAGATGGGAGGGAGATGTTGGAGAATTGCACCAAAAGAAATCTCCTGAGGTTTGGCAAGGACAAGTGCAAAGTCCTGCACTTGAGAGGGAGCAATCCCCTGCACCGGTGCAGGCGGGGGGTGACAGGCTGGGCAGCAGCTCTGCAGAAAAGGACCTGGGAGGACAAGGGACAAGAAGCTGAACAGGAGCCAGCAGTGTGCCCTCGGTGCCAGGACGGCTACCGGCATCCTGGGCTTCATGGGTAGGAGCGGTGCCAGCAGACGGAGGGATGTGATTCTTCCCCTCTATTCAGCACTGGGGAGGCCACATCTGGAGTCCTGTGTCCAGCTGTGGGCCCCCATCTACAGAAAGGATGTGGACACATTGGAGAGAGTCCAGTGGAGGGCAATGAAAATGGTTGTGGGGCTGGGGGACAGGACTGGTGAGGAGAGGCTGAGGGAATGGGCTGATTTAGGCTGCAGAAGAGAAGACCGAGGGGGATTGAATAGCAGCCTTCACCTCCCTGCCGGGGGGCTGCAACGAGGATGGAGCTGGGCTGGTCTCAGTGGTAGATGACAGGACAAGGAGCAATGGGCTCAGGCTGCAGCAAGGAAAGTTGAGGTTGGATATTAGGAAAAACTCTCACACCAGGAGGGTGGTGAAGCACTGGGACAGGTCACCCAGAGAGGTGGTGGAGTCTCCCTCCTTGGAAGTTTTCAAGACCTGGCTAGACAAAGCCTTGCCTGGGATGGTGCAGTCGGGGCTGGTCCTGCTTGGAGCAGGGGGGTGGACTAGGTGAGACCTCCTGAGCTCCCTTCCACCCTCGTTTTCTGTGATTGTACGTGGGAGGAAAGGTCTTCTGAGATGGGCACACCTCTGCACTAGGGAGAAGCCACAAGCAAGCCAGGAAACACTCACCTCTCCTTCTTGCTGTCTGAGGGCGACTTCTTAGAGGCAGCAGAGGAGCCCCTGGAGTCGCCGGACTCTCTGCACGGTGAGAACGGAGAGGAGAGACGTTAGCTTAAGGGACACCCCCAGCACTGTGCTCCCAGCCCCATTCCTCGCGCAAAGCCAACGTCCATCAGGCCAGCCCACTGCTGCCTGGGCACACGTGCTGACTGCTCCGTGGTGCTTTCCCCTTGCCTGGCGCAGAGATGCGCAAAGGGCAGAAATAGCCCAAAGTGACCCGCACGGCCATCCAGTCCGGCCTCCTGCACCGCGCCGGCCCCCGTAGCCTCCCCCAGCGGCAGAGGACGCCGTCCTCCTTGCAGTGCCATTCATGAGCGCTGGAGGCAAGTGATATGTCCCCACCAAGCGATCTCCACTGCCGATGCCGGGGGCTCAAGACACCCCCGCATACAGCGTTACAGCAGTGAGAGCTCCTGCCCGCCCCGCCATGTGCCAAGTAGCTGATTACAAGCCCCCGGGAACCTGCTGCATCACTTCCCATTGCTGAACAGGTCTCAGCAACGGCACCGATGAGATAACGGGGTGGGACAAAGAGGAGGGACCCGTGTCCAGCTGCCTTCCCCCCTGTGCTGTGTGTTCATGCAGGGGCAAAGGTGCCTGTGTGGATATCAGGGGGTTCCTGGGTTTCCTCCCCTGCTCTGTCCCTAACTGCACGTGTAGACTTTATCCAGGGCCCACCGAAGACGAAGGGAAGTCTACCGATCTCAGTGGGCTTTAGGTGACCCAGAAATAGCCACGTAACACTTGTGCCTCGCTTTCCCCATCTCCAAAACAGAGACCCTGCTACTTCACTAACTCACAGGCCATCATGAAGCTTAGTTCATGAATCCACTTCAAACAACACACTTCAAACACAGTGAGATGCTCTGTGGAAAGTGGCTCTGAGCTCCGTGCCCCGAAGGGAGGGTTTGTGGGTGCATGAGCAAGTACCTGTCGTGCTTGCTGTCCGTAGAGTGGCTCTTTGGGGTCACCGGGTGAGAGCCTGGCTTGCTGGATTTCCTGGAGAGAAAGAGGGGAGGTCTGAGAAGTGGGGTCCTGAGAAGAGCTGGCTGCTCTTCTCTGTGAAACAGAGGGATTGGGGATAGAAAAGGCTGCACTGGCCTGCCGAGAAAGCAGAAGGTTTGGGTTGAAAGTGCAAAGCAGGCCATGCCAGGAGAGACCACATCCATCCCACTGGAGAAGCTTATGCTAACGTGTCTTCCCCTCATCCCCCTGCCCAGGCCCACGCAGAACAGGGGGTGTTTACCTGTCCTGCTTCTGCTCCAATGAATGTTTCTTTGAGCCCGGAAGTGCATCGAGAGCCTTGCGGTCAGACAAGTCTCTTTAAAAGAAAAGGACAAGATGCAGAAATGACTCTTGAATGCAAGGATGATCTTTCAGCAAGGCCAAATCCTAATCCCATTCACTTCAGGGGGAACTTTGCCTTAGACCAAGATGATGAGTTGCAGGGAGTCTGCATGCAGCTAGAAAACCTGATGGCCTTGACAGGAAAACAGCCAAGTCTACGGAGCAGAAGGAAGGCAGTTTCCTAGGACTAGAAAGAGCCAGGTTCAAGTCTGTGCTCCACCACAGACCTGGGGGCAATGACTTGGTTTCTCGATCTCAGTGCGATGGGGTGAATAGCCCAGCCCTGCCTCATAGGCAGATGCTCAGCTCTTACAGGGATGAGGACCAGGTGAATAGGGCGCGCAAGAGACTTGTCAGCTCATCGGCGCTCTGGCACTGGCCCACCGGAGACCAGGAGATGGATGTGGGGTGGGTCTGGACCCCCTCTGCAGTCAGACAGGGCATGAGAGGTTTGGGTCGTCAAGCAAAGGCTGCCCAGCTCCTACAGCCAGGCCCTTAGTCCCTGTCCTGGTGCATCTGGAGTCTGCATAGGTCAAGCAGACAGGATGGAGCGCAGCGGGTGCTTTCCCCACTCCAGTCATGCAGCGGGTTGGGGAGAAAGCCCCCAGGGCCGGGAGAAGAGCTGCCATCCGAACACAGCTTCTGCCATGAGATGTGGGGCCCGGGACGGCTCGTCGCTCCCCTGACAGCGCCCTGCTTGGCTCGGCCATTCTGGGTTTGCATTGGAAACAAGGAGCATCCCCCCAAAATGTCCATGCTCTGCTATGTGCTCCCCGCCCTGGGCGGACTGCAACTCCCACAATGCACCAGAGCCAGGGAGTCCCATGATGCCCCACTTTCCAAGTGGTGCACCCTGGGACACGTAGTCCAACCATGACAGCCACAGGAGGACTATGAACCCCAGGGGGGTGGCTCGGACCTTTCTTTGTGCTTCTTCCTGTGCTTCTCGGTCGGGCTTTTGCAGGGCTCCAGCCCGTGGGAGTTGGCTCCTTCGGGCTGCCAGCTGGAAAAGTCGAGTCTTTTCTCTTTCTCCTTTTTATCCTTCTGACTTTCCAAGTCCTTCTCTTTCTTCTGGGTCCCCGAGGAGTCTGAGGGCAAACCAGCCAGGCCGTCAGTGACCAAACTAGCACACGAGAAGGGGGATGGCACTTGGCCAATTTGGGAACGATTTCCTCCCGGTCGCACTAAGCCAGGAGCCCTGGGCTGGAGAGACCTAGGGGAGTCTGTAGCAAGTCCGCACCGCGTTGGCAGGACTTGTGCAGAGTCCCGGGACTGGAATATCAAGGATGACCGCCGATGAGGTGCAGGGCATTGGAGACCAGGGCTGGTGCAGGGAAGAGAGGCTACAGCTGCCCATTTGTGGCACAGCAGGGAGAGTCTGCGGTGCCCACACCACTGTGCCGCCAGGCGGGACGAAGACCCGGACCCCCGGCACCTCACCCACCCCACCCATCACTCCAGCCGCACCTAATTGCGACTTCAGTAAGCCACAAAATGACCCTCCTCCCAAACTGGCCACAACGGATCTACGTCCAGTCCCGAGGACCAAGAGGAGGGAAGGCTGAAAAGGGGGTCAGGACTTCTCGGCTCAGACGCCCATGGAAATCTGGGGGGAGGAGGCTAACTTTCAAAGCAGAGATGCCTTCGGGGTCTCTCACCCAGCAGCCGCTTCCAGTTCTTGATGAGCAGCTTTGCCAGGGCCGCCACCTCCTCGTCGGAGCAGTGCTTGCGGATGGAGTTGACAGCCACCCCGATCCGTGTGGTCTGGGAGCGCACAAGGACAGCGGGTTATTGCAAAGCACATTGGAGAGGGAGGCTGATTGGGGAGGAAGGGGAGCAGGGGCACGGGCACGGGGCCTTAGAGATGTGGGATCAGTTTTCTGCCCCGCTGCCCATTCCCTGTATAGACCCCGCACGCACACCCTGTTTTCTTATGAGTTGTCCCCCGTAATGTTTGTTTAATGTTCAGGAGCCCAGCCGCCCGACTTTTGTAGAGTGGCGGCCCCTGAAGAATTTTTTTCCATGGTGTTCCAGGAGAAACACCTGTCCGGTCACCAGCCGGACGCCAGCAACACCATCGGCCACCTGACGGGGGTGGCCCAAAGACCCCTATAGACTTTTTTGCATGGTACAACAATAGTGCCCATTCCCTGTATAACCTCAGGGAAGACCTCAGTCCTTCGATGCCTCCCGTCTCCACCTACAGAATGGTCCTAAGAGCACTGACAGCCTCACGAGGAGCACGCATTTACCTAGAGAGCATCTACACAGACTCTGGCACCCAAGTGGGATGCTATCCCACCCTGCTCCAATCCAGGAGCCCATCTACTTCATTAACACACCATCATCTGAATCTTACAACCAAGCCCCCGAAAAGCAAGGGAGGAGAGGAGAGACCCACCTAGCTTCTTGCACCGACGGCTTTTCATCAGTTTGAGCAGGGGGAGCAGGATGCTGCATTGGTGCCCACGTTCCCTTATGTGCCTAATAGCTGGGCTGGAGTCTGACCCACAGCTGGTATAGTAAGATGGGCCAGATAAACCTTGACGGATGGATGCAAACTGCCCCGCTCCTCCCTTGGGGGTGGCACAAGCTCCAGGAGGGCCCTTGCCAGGAGATCTCGCAGACCCCACGCCACGGGCTTTTGCAGTCAGCCCAGAAACCCCAGTGTCTCCTGACCAGCGAGGAGAGTGGCCGCGTCAGAGCTGGACCGTGAATTTCAAGGGACTGGAGGGTGAATTTTAAGGGATGGGTCTTTCTCCAGCCTTTCTCCAAAAGGTATTACGCTCGGGTGGTTGGACCGGCTTTCCTACGATCCAGGGAGCAGCCTCCTCTTTGCTTTTAAAATGCCTTTAATTCCATGCCAGCCTACCTGTGCAGGGCTTAAAGAGGGGGGAGGTGGGGGCTGGCTCTTCCCTCAAATCCAAGTAACCCTTCGTAGGCTGGAGCCCTAGATGCCTCCCCCTGCACCCCATCCGCCTCACCTGCAGCAACTGGATGGTCATCGTGTAGCTGTTCAGCTCCTTCAGCAGATCAAGCGCTCCCTCCTAGCATGGACAAAAGCCACAGTGAGCATTGGAGGGTCAGTGCTGGGCCAGCCATCGCCTCCCTCGGGGCCGTGGGGGTGAAGGCAAGAACAAGCCGTGTGTCTGCCTGAAACGGAGAGGAATCGGCCCTTGTCTCTGCCTACTTAGCAGCAGGAGAGGGAGGGCGGCCCAGTGGTTAGAGCCGGCTGTTCCAAGCTATGCCACACATTGGCTGGGGGGCCCCGCCCCTCCCCGCCCCCGCT